ACTGACCTAATGCTAAATCATATTTAAATTTTTAAATTTAATTTTTATTTTTATTATCGAATATTTTCGCACTAATTTAAATTTAATATATTTAATATGTTATATTTCATATAAATTTTATGAATTTTTTTATCATTCAGCAGGAATAAAAATATTTCCAGTGAAAGCTGCCATACCATATCTCAATGTGTCAGTTGATTACAATTTTCCATCTATCTGTTCTCTATGTTTCAGTGGTTTTTACGAGTTAGTGGTTTTCAAAAATTATTTATTTCGAAGCAAAGTTAATTTCATTGTTGATCAAATTAAATTAAAAATGGAAGGAACTTTTCCTGAAGTCTATTTATTTTAATTGTTAACGATCAAATAAAATTGAATTATTATATTTGATAACAAATTTGATGTCATATTTCGCAGTGGCATTATTTATTTAAAATAAAATTTCACCTTTAAATTGATTTCAAGTCCTAAACTGTATTAATGCATATCTATAAAGTATTTGGACTTGAAGAGTTTAAAAATCACAATAAAATCATTAGATTTTTACTATACAGTATTGCAACCTGCCACATAATATGCCCATTCAAAAGATATCAGCCACGATATTCAGATTTAATTCAGATCCTAATTATGACAGTATTTTAGAAATAACTGTTTTGGATGAGACTCAGTTCAGCAACCCAAAATCATTTGACTATCATTTTGACGATGATATGAAGGCATTCGCTGACACAAACGATATTTATGATGAATTAGTTCCATATTTGCCAAGATTTGTCATTTATAAAAATGGAAGAGATGCTGGTTATACAAGGGTCAGTTTCTTTCCGTTTAACTATCAATGAAATATGGAAAATCGATTTTTCAGCCAATCTAAGTTTGAATTATAGGATTAAATTTGAATTAAATAAAGCTAAATTATAGGACATTTTCGTTTAAGTGGGATATTCCTTTTCTTAAAATTTGATTAGTTTAATCGAATTTATTTTAAATTTAATTTTGTTTAACAATTTAAATGGTTCAATAAAAAAAACTATAAAATAAAATCAAATGACAAAATCAAATGACAAAAAATAAAGACTACTTGGAGGAACTAATTTGTATAATTAATATTTTATTTGATTTATTTCATTAATGATTAATTACTTTAAAAAATCATAGAAAAACAAAAGGAATGCCGTATTAAGCAATATTTATCAGTAGCAGTTTTCCAGATCCAGATTATCAAAATTATTTTTTCCACTAAAATTTTTATTTCTATTATTACACTATCTTCCTAATTTAGCGATTTTGCTATTTTTGGATCTTTCTTCGGTCGATAAGTGACGTAAATAATGAGAATTATTGTTCAGTGGAGGTTTTTTCTTTTTTGCAGCAAAAATGTAAAAAATTACAAAATATCGAAATCGACGGCAGTTTAAAGGGCAACTTGTCTTGAAAGTGAAATGAATCGACAATGAAATGCCAACATTTAAACTTATAAATTTCATGAAACTTATTTGATCCTATTTTACTGATTATTGTAGATTCCTATAGTGACGCGAAAAATGCCAACCTGGTCAACGCCATCACGTCGAATAAAAATTGAACCAACATGGACCACACCTCCTCCAAGAGCAATATTTTTAAACACGCGCAGAAGAAGTAAATCATGGAAACCTACCACTACCGTACAAAAATTAAAAAAAGTAATATTAGTAACAACGCGTCAATCACAGAGAAGAAGTACTACTAAACAACCAAAGAGAATAACAACAACGCAAACGCCTTGGGTTATATTTACCACACTACAGCCAAAGAAATTTAGCTCTTCGCAGTGGCCAAGGACAACAACTATTAAACAAACCGCGAGGAAATTTTTATTCACTACACGTTCGAAATTCTTTACAACTCGACGACGTTCAAGAACTTGGACTATGCGAAAGATTTCAACTGCGTCACAGCGTCTAAGGTTCTCCATAAGTACGCAACAACCAAGAAAGTTAGCCCTTCTATATATTTCTAGGATGACAGATTTGAAATTTTGTGCGAAAAATTTTCTAACCAATCGCCGATTTTTTGAAAATTTTTATTGATTTTATTTTTATAATTATTGCTACTAATTCTTATTAACTTATTAACTTAACTTTTTTATTAACTTATTTTTAAATTCTCTTTCAAATAATTTTTTGGATGAAAGTTCAGAAATGAATCTGAAAAATCCATTGAAAAAGTAATTAAGTCAGATCTTTTTGCCCCTCCTCCCTCCCCCTTAGCACAGGAATAAACTTCCGATTAAAACAGTTTGCATGGTTGTGAGGATTCCATTATTTCACTTCATCCTCTAAGTGACCCTGGCTGAAGTGAAAATTTAATTTTATTCAACTTCAAAATTAACCAACTTTACACAAATATGACATTTCAAAAAAATTATACAGAATCGTTATACAACAGCTTAAGAAATATTTTAGAAAATATATGAGCACTCTTCAAACAACAACCCAACGAATTGCAACAACAAGAACGTATCATCATCGGTATTTTTATTCACTTTTTAGGTTTATATATGTGTACGGAAATATGTAAAAATCACTATATTACTTATAAATTACTTAGAAATTGTAAATTACTTTTACGAAACGCATAGTTTATTAATCGCACAAATTTAGGTTTACAGTAGCTTACAACAGATCAACAAGTCGTCGATTCAAATGGATTAGAACAACATTATCACCACGTAAATTTATTTCTTTCAAATGGACACCAAGGACAATTTCTCAGTCGCAATCCGTAGCAAATCCGAGATTTAATCTTACAGGACAAAAATTCTTCCATAAGGAATTCATGCCTTTCCAATTTTCTGCAACCAGGTTTCATTTTGTTTACTTTATTGAAATTATTGCTTACTTTATTGAAATATTTAGTTTCGTATTTAATAATGTGTTGAATAACCAGTTTATCAATAAAAAGATTTTCACCTTTCAATTTATAAGTTTATTATTGGCAGTCTTCTTCAAAAAGCTTTCACCATTATTGGTTAGGCTGGCTGCAGTGGCTACAACGGTAAGAAGGGTTTCTAAGCGGTGCGGTGATGCCACATGATACAGTACTAGAAGCCATTACTTTTTCCGTCATCAAAGTCCATATATTGCTGGTCCACCTATACGTTCAAAATCTTTCCTGGCTGTACCAGTCCAGGTCTCGATTGGCCCACCTCGCTTTTGACGCCATCCATCACACGTTTTAGAAATTAACGAAATATGCGTCAATTCCTGTGGTGGACAACGGAGAACGAAAGCCACGCTCTGTGATGACATTATTAATGCATAGACAGTATAAAAAAAAATTATTAATGCAGGTGGTATTTGTGTGGAAATGGAATCATGTGCGATTTTATCTACTCGGCGGATTCGTAGAATGTACCTTAGATATGAATGGTCAAAGGCTAGTAGCTTCTTGATATCTTCCACTCTAATTGGCCATGTTTCGCAGCCATATAACATCTTGATTGGCTCACTTTTGAGGGTACCTATCACAGGGTAAATAACGAAATATGTGTCAACTGTTGTGGTGAGCGATGAAGAACGTATCCTAATCAGTGAAGACGACGCTCTATGAAGGTACTGTTAATGCTGGTGGTATTTAAACGAAGGTGGATGCGATCAAATTTGAAATTTTATCCACTCGGCGAACCTGTAAAATGTACCTTAGATATGAGTGGACAATGGCAGGTAACTTCATAATATCCTCCATTTCTAGATGCCGTAATCGGGGTTGTAATATCGTCTTTTGCCTGGCCATTTGGTATTATAATGGATCCAAAGTATTTAAGATCAGGCGCTTCTTCAACTGGCAATGAAGAGACATTTATAAAAAAAGGCATTTTTCGACCTGGATTCTCGCTGCAGTTGTTGATATTATTTAGCATTTTTTGCATTTTCTCAGCAAATAAGACATCATCACTATTAAAATATCAAAGATCTCTGTTACGATACTTTGGATTGATTTGTATATCTTTTGAGTGCCGACAAGCGGTGTCCATTATTTAGTCTCTATCGCATAATTGAAAATGTAGGGGGAAAGAGCATTAGCACAGCCTTAAAGGACAGCAGTACTTATTTCGAAGGAATCTGTCAGTTCCCCATATGTACAAATCTGTGCCAAGGTATGATGATAAAATGCCTTTATGAGTCGAATGATCTTCTCTGGATCACCTCACATTCCATCACCCTCCAAAGCACTGCACTATCAATTGAACCGCAGCCGCAAATACGATGAAACACGTGACAGTGGGTTGCAAATATTTGAAACGATATCCCAATACCCCTCTTAACGTGTATATCTGGTCAACACAAGAGCGCCCTGGCCTGAATCCAGGGCGCTTTCTGCTATTTTCATAAGTCCATTGAGTAAAGATAATTGTCGTAATATGTCATTTCTTGAGAATTAAGATCGAAATTGCCCCCCTCCAGTCTTCTGGCAATTTTTTCAGAGAGTGCATTTGAATTGAAGATGCGTTATGAAAGACGATGGGCAACCATCTTCCATCTTCTCCTGGAGTTCTATTGACCTTAAGCTTATGGGTAGCGGTGACTGGTTCTTCTTTTATTGGCAGCTCGCATTGGCAATATGGCACTTTTTATAATTGATTTATTTCTGGGTGGTACTGACACTTCTATCCCCAAACGATTTCCTAGCATAAATCTCAAACTATACTGCAGTAAAATCGAATTATCCTTACCGAAAATCCTTACAACTTTAAAAACTTACCTAGTTTCTTACTTAGTTAATATAATTGGTTAAATTGAATAAAGAACCTAATTTTTTGGTTATAAATTTATAGTCATTCTCTTCAAAAAAAAATGAATATCACCTAGCAATACCTTTTTTTTCATTCTTTTTTGCGAATAATGTGAAAAAAAGAGACGATATGATTTTTAAAATTTCTGCAGGCTGCAAAATTTTAAACTTGATCTTTCCAAATTTTTTCCAGTAAACAGCCACCAATATCTCAAACAATTATGCAATCCTTTCAAGAAAAATCACGAAGAGATCAAACAATTTTTTCGCAAAGCGCTAAAAAAGATTCAAATCAAGCACTAAACAATAAATTTGATCATCCGAAAACAGTGGCTAGATCAGTCAATTCACTCATTTTATCAAAACCTCTGCTGATCCATCCACATACAGGTTCATGCAAATATTAATATACACTGAATTTATAGTTTTCGCCAAAAGAAATGAAAAAATCTTTAGGACCTACTTTCAACTGCAAAATATTGCAACCTGGTAAAGATGGACGACCTTCATCTCAACACAATGATACATGCGCACAAAACGTTCCTGGCTTCTCAGCTGATGGTAAATGTCGTTGCACCTATGAGGTACTCTTTTTGCTTTAAATGAGACTTTTCTTTTCAGTGATTATCTATACAGTGGTTATACTTGATTTCCATTTGATTGAATTGCTAATTTACCAGTGCCTTTGTTTTATCAGTCATTTAACCGATTCATGGATTATCCTTTTCCAAACTCTTTATCAACAATTCATTTCGAGTTCGATGTAGATATATCTCTTCTCATTATGTAAAGACCAAACTGATATTTTGATTATTTTTCCAATTAGAAAAGCATTATTAATAGGTTCAACAAACAAAATATGGTGCGAATAACCATATTATATAGATAATTGAATAATCCACACAAAAGTGTAAATATTACAAATTGGAAAAACATTTTCTGAAATTTAAGTTGAAACTTCCATTAAATTTAGTTAAATTTTGATATTCGTCTTTAAACTATAGTTTGATAAGAAGAAAGCTCTAAATTTTTTGTTATAGATTGATGGTCGTGATGATAATGGTTGTGCAAAGGCCTTCATATACACTTGTATACCGAAATAAATTTTATGAAATTCACCTACCCTTTTTTTTCTGTAAATAATAATGTTTCCTTAACAGTCATATTATAAACTAAATAAATTGGAAGAATTATTAAGAGGAATGGAATCGAATATCAGATTTCAAAAAAGACACATAAGCGATGATTTCAAGGCAGAGCAATGAGTTGCAGATCGAGGGATCATACGCCTCGAGTTCTAGCCCTTTAACCCTTTGATAATTCCAGACTATTGACTTTCAGAAGTTTATATGCATTATTATATAGCCAGCTATTCGATAAATTTTGATCACTTAACCAATCGATGCAAAAAGCCTAAAATTCGATATAATATAAATAAAAATTACTGGAAACAATTCAGGCTTTAGGTCATAAACATGATTTAACATTGCAACCTTTTTTCTTTAGATAAATTAACAAAAATGATTTATAAAAAAAATTAAAATAATAGAAGGACGATCTGAACTCAAGATAAAACTATAATAAATTTTTCGCCAATTTTTTTCTTGAGTAATTTAAAACCAAAAAAGCAATTTTAAAGGAAGCAGGTAACAACCAAGATACTTCTGTAAATTGAGCATTCTAATATTCAAATATAAGGGGATATATTTCATTTATGTGACTGTGAATACAAATGGAGATCCCACTGCACAAAAAATTGTCCAATTGATAAATATATTTTGGAAAGAGTCCGCAACAACTACCAGCTTTCTAATGAATTTCATTAAAGATTGTGCTTAGTTAATTTAGTCACGAAATTTTATTATGAAAACTGCACCACTCTCTCTCTCTCATTATTCTAATTATGTAACACCAAAATTTCTAAATTCTGATAGTTTCGTTTTACTCATTGCAAAGCGATTAGCCTCAATGGCCAATATTACTTAGTGCGATTTTGTAATCTGGTTTTTTTTGTGACGAGCTTGAAGAGAAATGACGAAAAAGACAAATAATTTTGAAGAAGTTCTGTGGGAGCGATTTCTAAAGAAACTAGGAAACGTTCTGTTAACGGAGGGCAAAGGGGCAGCATAATAGAATTTACCGGAGTATTACTAATATATAAAAAAAGTGTAATGAGCAGATAAAACAGTGGTTAACAATATACAATTTTCTTGGAGGAGACTAAAGGATTTCAACTTTCCAACAATTTGAAAACATTTCATGACTTCCATCGTTTATCGTTTGTCGTTTTGGCAAATCACTGATAAATTTTTCATTATTTATTATCAGTTGGCTATTATTAATATATTTTTAACATTTAAATATTTTATTTATACAAAAAACAGTCAAGCTGGACTGAGAACCATATGTTCACATGTCCTCAGCGCACCGTGTAAGCCCACACATCGTTGGTTATAGTTTAATCTCTTTTGATTGTGATTAAGCAGATTTTGATTCCTATTTCAGTTCTTGTACTGGACGACGAAGTATATGGTCCAGCTAGCACAGATGACGTTTTATGATGATTTTGCTAATATTTGAAGCTAATACTTAAAGAAAGGCTCTAATACCCTTCTTGCCTCTGATCAACATAACCGAGTATTAAATAGATATGAGTCTATTCAGAAGAATACAGTCGAAAATATTCCCAGAAATACCTAGTAAGTGAACTGACTCTGACTCCATGACAGTTAGCATCACCTTTCTTAGAAACTGGGAACATGGCTTACTTTAGTCACATGGTGAAGTAAAAAAAATTAAATTAAAGTTAAGTAGAATGGTTGGTGATTGCTATCAGAGCGCTATCAGAGCTAAGTTCTACTCTCATTAGAAATAAACCTTCAAAAATCCGGGTAATCCTCGTGATCCATTTATTGCTTAAACTTAAGCAAAATTTTTCTGGTCTAGCAAACCAGTGGGTAATTAGAATTAAAGGTAGTTGTTTCTTATTCCATGCCAAATTAATAGTATTATAAATTAAATTAAAATTAAATTAATAAAATCTTGAAAAATCAAGCTTGTTAAATTTTTCTGGCGCTAAGTGAATCATTTAGAATTTTAAGATAACGATTTAGATGGTAAAATATACTGATTTATTTAAGCATAAGCCAGGTCATAATCAATCTTGCGCTGGAGTTAGTAACAGATGAAGTAGAGAGTAAAACGAAAAGAAACATAAATATTAGTGGGAAATCAAGGTTAGAAATCTTTTTTTTATTGTGCTCTAGATGACCTTATTGAGATTTCTTTTAAAATTAGATGAGAGATAGATGGGAAATTGTATGGTAATTTGTTCCAGCATTAATATTCGAAGGAAAAAAATATAAGAGAAAACTTTGGTCCTACAGGCTTGACAATTTCAATCCATTATCTCTAATAGCATAATAATTCTCCGTTGTCCACCACATGCTAAACCGTATGGTTGATGGCGTCAAAAGCGAAGTGGGCCAATCAAGACCTGGACTGATACGGTCAGAAAAGATTTTGAACCGGCAATATATGGACTTAGAAGGTGGAAAAAGGAATGGCTTCTATTACTTCTAGCGATGGATGAAACCGTATGGTGGATGGCGTCAGATCGAGCAGCTTGGAGACATCTTACCCTTGTAGCCAGCGAAGCTAACCAGTAATGGTGGAAACTATTAGAAGAAGAAGAATAGCGCAATAGTAAAAACAATTAACGTTGATGTAGCTATTTGAAACCTTGCAAGCAGATCTTATTTAATTCTAACTCTTAGTGAATCAAGGTTTTATAATTACAATAAGCGGAAGAGCTCGACCATAAAAAATAGTTCAGCCTACTCTCAACTGGCTTAATTCTAGGTGAGTGACATGCTTCAATATATTCGAAACATGAACGAACAAATGTTTTAAGAAATTCGTTGACTGAAAACTTTCAAAATATCATATTCAAAAAATTCTAAACAATATGTCAACTTAATTACTATACAGATCGATGCTAAGTTCCTCGTTGATTAATAGACAAATGAAAAATTTTACTCAATTTACGCGGCTCAACTGAACTGTGGCGGAGATAACAGCGAGCCTTTCGCGTTGATATGCAAATTTTACATTTAACTATCGATAATTTCCGGCAGATTTCTTTGATGGCACTTAAATTTGCCGAATATATTTTTCGATTAATTGCATATACGTAAATGCTTGAATCCAAAATTCATAGACATTAAAGGAAAGCGATAAAATGTCCAATAAAAGCTTCGAAACGAGACTTAAAATCAAATGGAGCGTTATTAATGCGGACGGGTCCAATGAGCATTACGCAAAGGTTTATGCGTGTTGCCAAATTCATTAAGGACTGTCGCTAGCCTGCCGTGTGCGTCAAAAGCCTTGGCTGTGCCTATTTAGACGGCGAAGTAGGGACCATTCGACGAAAAATATTTCTGTAGAGCCTCGGAACTTAACTGGTTTGCTAAAAAAGGGGAAGAAACTGTGTTAGATCTCAGAACCTTTATACGCGTTAATAATTCGCATGCTTTTAAAATTTCAGAAGACTTTTTACTAATTTCGAGCAGATTGTGCGGCAACTGCAGAGCTCTTGCGACCTATTCGTGTTTGACTGCTCTTGACATCCTCGCGGACGTTTCGCTACTAAATGGGATTCTCGCGCCATAAGAAACCTCTGAAAGTTCGTCACTGCGCGAGGAAGGAACTTCACCGAGGGTGAATGCAAAATTTCCACACAATGTTTCTTTTTCTTTCTCAGAAACCACTGCAGGGAAAACCCCACTACATTAGCGTTAGGTTTCTGAGCACTTTCTTGATCAAATACGAAGCTAAAAATCGAACACCGCACCTAAGCCGAAGGATTCGCTATCCAATTGTAGTGAAAATATACAGCTGCAACATCTAAAATACGAATATTTTCAAAATCGATCCATTCCCCAGAGCAGTTTATAATGGTACTGCGGTCGATGAGGAATGGATAGTATCGGTATTTTACTGGTGAGGTGGGGAAGGGGGTTCGGTGTAAATTTTTTGTGGTTGGTTTAATAGAAGATTTAACCGATTGATTTTTTCTTGTGGATAAATTATTTTTGTAAGTGAATTTCGATACTAATAAAATATTCGAAAATTGTTTATTTTTTCAACACCTTTTTCCATATGACTCGCCACCAACTGTTTGGAAAGCGAACTCGCGGTTGAGCGAATTCTGCAACTCGCCAACGGCTGATATTCATACAGCTGACATAATCGTGTCTTTTCAAATGTATATTAGCTAGGTTTACATATGTGAGACCATTGATTATATATATATATATATAGTTCGTAGTAGCAGATCGGCGCTGTTGCGAGGTCGCACACGTTCGCTCTCCCTTCATTTTCTCTCTTTCGCCATTTTTTGTCTTCTATCGTAACAAAACTGTCTCTGCAGTGGAGATTTGAAATATTTACTTTATTCCGCACTTCTTTTTGTCTATAACCTAGCAATTCGATTATTTGCTTCAATTACATTTTCTCGACAAGTGGGAGTATTTATGAACAGAATAACCGAAAAAATAGCGATGAAACGATTTTAGTTATAACTCATTCTTCTCTTCTTTCCTTATCATAGATTCATTAATGGGCTAATAAATTTTCTTTGATAGCTCGTTTTTTGGTGTGCATTAATGGCGAAGAATTTCCGTGCGCAGTTTTTTTTGTGGAATAATATATTTAAGTGAGACAATTTTCATATTTATTGTTCTTTAAAGATTGAAAACAATTTTTTTTAATAGTTTTCGTTTTATTTTAATTTGTTATCTGTGCATTTAGCTCATTTTTTTGAATTTTATTTTTTAATCAATTTTTAAATTCATTTTCTTCTCAAAATTACTGCAAATTTATTTCATTCTTTTTTTTAAGCGCTATTTTGTTGATATAAGTTTTATATGAATTGAATTCCTCATCATATTCCAATATTTTTATTCTTTTCATTTTATTGGTTCGATTTTCATAAAGTCGATCATCGATTCGTTTTGTTTTTACCGTTGAAATGCTAATCAATTATAAATTGAATATTTTAATATATTGAATATTGAATGAATATTGAATATAATTGAATATGTTAATTTCTGTGAATAAAATGAAAATTTAATCTTAGGCTGAGGCTTGTGATATTTCAGGGTCAATCAACGGGGAACGGTACATTATTTGGATTGGGATGAGCTTCGCCGGGGTCAGTTCTCGTGGTTCGTTCATTCTGATCTTCCTTTTTGCATAAAAAAAATTTTATTTGCATTTTTGTTGAGGAGAACTGCTTATTGTTTTTTTGCTGGAATTTGTAGAATTCGTTGTGTTGTCGACTTTTCATTTTGTTTATTTTGTTTTTTTTCCTTTTTTCTTCTATTTTTTAATTTAAATTTTTTCAAGGCTACGGAGATTTTGGTGGTCTAGGTAACTTTAATAATTTCGAAGGTATGATGGATCCGCAACAACCGCATATTAAAATGGATGAAGGGGCTACGCCTCAACCCTTATCGGGTAATGGTCGCCGTCCAGGCAATAGCAATTATACTTTACAGCAAGTAAGGAGGTTAAATGAAGAGTAAAATAATTTATCTGCAAATTTAAATGAATGAATCCTGATTGATTTTGCCATTTTTTCAAATTGTCTCTTTTTATAGGAATTTGGTTGGTTTAAACAAGATTTGCTGCAAATTCGAAATGCTGTTGTTTTACTAGAAAAGGAAAAAGATAATCTGCGCCAAGCAGTTCGAAAACTTAAGGTGAAAGTGTTATTTATTGTGTCAATTTTTTGTTGCATCTTTCTTTAAAGCATCATTTATTTATTTTAGTTGGAAAATGCTCGAATAAAGCAAAAAATGAAGCGATTGCAAGAAGGGATCACTGTTTTAATGGGATCCTCCGCCGATTCCGACAATTTGAAAGTTGGAGCGGTCGAAGCTGAGCTGGATTATGATGAAATCGGTCGCGATTTTATCCTCGTCGGCGGTTAGGAACTTGTTATTTAAAAACCTTATTTAAGAAAAGATATTTTTCTGATAGTTTCTTTTTTGTTGAATCTGCCGAATAATAAATAAAATAATTTTTATGTTATTTTTATGTTATGTAATTTTTTATCATTAGGTGCGCAGGATCCTCTCAGTTTAAGATATGAAGTTGCCATTCGCGACGAAAGAGGAATTGAACACAAATCTGCTGAAAGATACTACTGGTATTATCGTTTATAGAAATTCATTACTAATTAATAAAGGAAGAATTTCATTATTTGCTTTTATTTGTTGTTTCCATATTTTTTATATTATTTTCCTCATATTTTTTCAGGTATAAAATGGCTGAACATTTCGGCGATGCGGAAACTATGTCAAAAATTTTGGATGCTCCATCAACAGCAAAAGCAGAAGAATCCATGCGTGAAATCAAAAATTTCGATGAAAATAGTTGGAATGAGGTATACATTTTGCTGGTTTCGGATATATTCTAAATTATGAATTTTTTAAAATGAAAATCGACTTCATTATTTTATTCTGCATTAAGTTATTATATTGCATTTATAATATTTAGGTGAAAATGGCCGTCTGGGAGGCTGGTCAGCGCTTAAAATTTGACCAAACTCGTTGGATTTCGAATCTTTTGGTTTATACCGGAAAAACTTATATTGCTGTTGCGTCCCAAGATAAGGTTGTTATAACGAAAGAACCGATTGTAAAATGCGATGATTCATTGAAATATCATAAACTGGTTTGCGATTTCAGGTATTTGGTACTGGATGGCGAAAAAATCGTGACGAAGCGAATAAACCAATTTTCTGGGACGGTGAAAATCAGGGAGGGAAGGCTTTGATGAGATTGCGTCAGCAGATCAAAGAGACTCATTCTTGGTCCGGTCCGTATGAGGAACAAGAAATTGAAAAACGTTTTAATGAGCTTAAGAAATATGTATGGCGTCGCATCGATCCTGCACGTCGAATTGGAATGCTTCGAGGACGTGGACGTGGCTATGCACGTCGTGGAACATATGGTGGGCGTAACTATGGTGCGCCAAGTGCAGGATTGTCAGCAGGTGTCCGTCATTAATATGAACGACTTTGGATAGCACATTTTTTTTTATAGCGCATTCATTATAACCCCGTTGATATTTGCACCGCTTCGTCGGGCTCTGGCTATCAGTTTTATATTATAATTTAATTTCTGCTTACTTCTGGATTTACTTTTGGATTTCGTAGTTTAACCATTTGTTTATTCGTTTTAAATTGATAACTCTCATTCAATTTATCATAGATAATAAGCAATTTTAAATTCACATTAAAACTTTTATGTAATGGTTTTTTTTCATAAAGCGAAAGAAAAAAGAAGTATCAGAATTAACAAGTAACAGAATTCTTATCGAGCCAGATCTTTATTTTTATTTATAATTAACCATTTATTATTACTGTTGCTTCTAATCTTATAGATTTTTTTCCATGGGTTATCATTTTCATTGTTTTAATGTAATAAAAATTGCATTCATTGTTTCAGTTGACATGGTAAAAGTTTTTATTTTTCCAATTTTTATGCGGAATAAATTGCATGGTTCCAGTGAAATAATTCATCTACAAAAATGCAAACTTTTTGAATTAAGGAAGGAAATATGTTATGTGGATTTATGATTGGATTCGAGTGAAAAATTAAGGAGTAGTGAGCTGACCATTAAAATAAGCTTTAAAGATGATTTTCCCAGTCAAATGGCTGATTGGCATCGCACTTTCCCCTATAGCATTCGTTAAGCACTCTCTTATAAAATCACAATCGAGCGTATCGGTCGCGTTTTTAGAAATAACGTAAATAAAGCAAATTTCTAAATGATTTTGGCATTTTTAGGCAAAGTTCCTCGTGCGTAGTGCGTTGTTTTATTTTCGCTATTTCTTTCGGAGAGGCCCCGCACCAAGGAAGTCTTGCTTGCGATAATTCGACCTGAAGAACCGAGGTTAGCTGACTTTTCTCGATTAAATATGGGTGAAAGGAGGTGTATTAGATGAAAAAGCGTACAATAGAGGTGAGCCAACTGATAAGAGCCTCATCGCAAGGGCCACAATCTCTGCATTTTATTGCATTTAATGGAGCGTATCTTATTGTGCTGCGGAAACATTTCTGCTGCCATTTCGGTTTTCATTTTCCGTTAATATCGCGCATTTTTCGGCATAGACCTAAATGATCACCGAGCGAATAGGTTTCTTGCTTCCACTCATTTATTACGGGTTCGGTTTTTATATCCTCTTAAGGAGGAAATTTTTTCGAAATTATTTATTAATAATAATCGGTTGAATATTTCCCGCTCTGTTTTAAAATAATTCTTTCTATGTTAAATTGAAAAATTTTTAAAATATCTGATTTCGCTAAAGTCTGCTTTAAAAATGAGATTAAGGAGCAGGATAGCAGACTACGTAGTAGTTTAGATCGTCCCGTAAGGCAAGGATTCAGCTCTCTCTTGCACCCTCTCGCAAAGGAGTAGAGTTGTCATTAAAGACCGTAGTTTACCAACTCAGCTGTGTTTCTGTCGCCAAGTTTCTGCTGACATTTCTAATTATTTTTAGCAAGCAACGAAGCGAGGAATGATTAATATTAACTTAGAAATGAGACTGACTTAGATTAGAAGGTGGACATCGTTTTACAGATTATTACAGATAATTATAGATAATTATAATCATTTTACATGGTAGAAAACGTATAACCAGTTGGAGCACAAACTTGGAAATTTGGCAAAATTCATTTTATTATGAAAAAACTTTAAGAAACTTCGTTTTGAAGAAAATGGCTTACCGAAATCGATAAGATAAATGGTACTTTTATAAATCCATTCCCACACAACAATTTGATGGTTTTATATCACGATGAATATAGTCAGCATTATGCAAATGTTCCATAGCAGTGCATACCTAAGAATGATTTCTTTTTAAAATTTCTAAATTCCTAAAAAAACATTGAGTGGTATGATAAATGTGGCTATCGCTTTGCTAAATTTATTTAAAATTAATGCTGATATTTAGGATTAAAAGCAAGACACCAGTTACAGCAGTGGTTCGCGAAATATGCTTTCACGGATTGAGGAATGTCCGAATGACAATGTTAATTTTGTTAGCTTTCAAATATCAGTTGCATTCAGCATTTAGCATAAATTGATTCTTGATAAATAGTTTTTTATTCTCAGTGTAAAAAATAGCCAAATGTGAGCAATGGTTTGCAATTTAAAGGCTTAGAATTTGTGGATACAGCAGAACTGGAGAATGGCATTCTCACAAGTGCAAGAAACAGAACGTAGGAGGGACGTTGCATTCTAACAATATATCATCCTCCTCTCCATGGAATCGTGATAATTTTATAATTATTTTTAGCGTGTTATTTTTATCTCAACGTATTCATGAGGCTAAACTGATCTTAATTGTCAACACTCCGACGTGACGGGAAACAACTGCTATTTTTACCATTAAAGAATTCATCATTCTTTTTAATTTAATGTTTTAGTTTATAAAAAATAAAAATACAAAAAATATCTCAAAAATAAAAAATAATCCAAAAAACATATTAAATTCCATCGTGAAGGGGAGAGAGGAGGGGACCTTACATTTAAATATTAAATATTTAAATATTAAATTTCCCAACATATAAAAGACAGCTTTGAAGACAAGAAAAAAAACTAACATTAAATACATTAATAACATTAACTATATTAATCACATTGAAAAATTGATAAAAAGACCAAAAGAGATAGAACTTTAAAGTAAGAGAATTCAATAAAAAGCCATAATAAACAGAACCAACGGACAAAAATTTGGAAAAAAGAGATAAAGAAGGTCAAATTCCCATATTAAATCAGTGATTTGCATTAATTATAGAAAAATCATGGTTGATCAGTATTTTATTGAAGATAAATAGTGATTTGATGGAGGATTTATGCAAGAAACTTATAGGAATGAATTTATCGCTAGATTTTTTATCTTCATGTTCTGTTCTCAAACATGTTAAATTCTTGCCGAGTAACTCCGTAATTATGTATGTACAAAAGTGGAATCCAAGTGGTGCTGGGAATCAACCTTCACTTTCACTCGCAAGTGACTCTCAATGAATCATTGAATCATTAGAGCCATAATAACTAGAAATTTTCTATTTGAAGAAAATGAAGATTGGTTAATAGTAGTTATTTAATTATCATTATCAAGTTTATATGTTCGAAGAACCATTAGTCGTTCTTAAATTATTGCATACCCAAAAATAAGATAGGATTAGTGTTGTGATTTTTCATTATGGAAGGAGTGTCAGAAAGCTACAGCTAGAGAATGGAAAAAATTTGGCTATTTGATCGTGAGAGATGCTTTCTCGTTAAAACAAAAAGGGCACTATTTTTTCAGTTAACTCTTAATTCACATATATATATATATATTTATGTTGATATTTCCTCATATCTTCTTCATTATCAAGAAATGGTGTGGTCTGTCTTCTCCGTATAGTTCAAAATCATTTGACAATAACGGCTATATAATTTGCTGATGCAGTCACATCCTCTGCTTTTCCAAGGCGATTAAATATCTGATCTAAAAATTCTATGATCACAGCAATCTTGTATCGTTGCGAAGATACAGCGGAGACCCAAGGATGACAAAATTCAAGTAAAACGTAGACTTGTTATGCGGCTTGGGAATTTTGATCCAGAACAGTCATCCCTTCTCCCCCAGATTAAGAATTAAAACTATTGAATTAAAACTTTAGTGCAAATAACAAAGATTTAAATTGCAATAACCTCGACAATTCTTTCATAGTGCATCTAATTGCGATAAGACGATAAGACGTCCCGAAACTTATGGACAGATCCAGTGAGAAAAAGCAATAATCAACCAATCTGAATAGCGATCTGGTATGTCGTTGAATCGCTAAATTTTTTATCTTCACGCTCCTTTTTAAACATGTCAAATTCTTGCCGAGTAATTCCATAATTATGTATGAATATTTATTCACCTTCCCACTTGCGATTATCATTGGAATATATTCCTGAAAAAATGATCTAGATGAGCATTATACTACTGTATGGAGATTATAAGTCTGTTCCATTTTTCCAGGATTTTTTAAATCCATATTTTTGTTAAATAAAACGATGACTACAAATAATAAAAACTTCTGAAGAAAACAGAATTAGAATTAGGTGTATTTCCCGGGTTTCACTGCTGCCAGAATGGAAAGGCGAACCACGATGCCAGAATTGATCGAAGCGATTTTTAGAAACATATGGTATTTTGGCTAATCACGCCCATTTTTATTCAAAATAAACCTTATTACGAAGTTTGAGAAGAACTTGTTGTTCAATAACGAATCGGCGCCGATCAAATGTTAATTTCGAAATTTTTTCGGCTTCCACTTTTATAGCAACCAATCGTTGAGTTATCAAATCCGTCACTTGCAATCCACAAATTTTTTAAACAAAAAAATGCTTAATATCAAGAAAAGAAAAAAAAAGATCGGTAATAAAATAAGTGCATTTAATTCTGTGTAGTTGGATTATTTAAAATTCACTTATGAATCCAGTTTGTACTTTTTTAATATTAATTAATTTTAATATTTATATTTTTTAATACTTTTAATATTTTATTCGAAAAAGTGATTCGGCTCTCTCCGTGAAAGTTGATAATTTTGTTTGTATGAGAGAGAGGGAGGCAAGAAAGGCAAGTGCTTCTTGCTCAGGTCATCAATTCCAATGTTGTCTTCGATATAGCATTAAAAAACCAGCTATTGCTGGATTTATGCCTTTTTCTTCTTCAGTGACTGTTTAAAGGAAATTCTCATCTTACTAATAGTCGGTGAAGTAAGTTTAATTAGAAATGGTGAATGATTTAACGACGATTTACCCTAATCAAACGACTTTATTCGTTTTTCAATATATTATTAGAATGAATTAAAAGCTAAGCTATCACCTGAAATAATTTTTAAAAATCATGTTCACACATTTATTTTTTTTAAGCTCCAGCTTAGAAGTTGACAAATAATAAAATAAAATGAAGGAATTATTATGCTTTCTAATTCGTATTAAAATGTATTAAAGGGATAGAATG